AGCGACGACGAACAAGCTAGACGCCGTGAAGGCTGTGTTGCGCCTGCTGAAGGAGGCCGGCATCACACCAGGCTCCTTCGCAGCGAGGGATCAGTTCCATCTGGACCTCGAAGCGATCTAGATCACGCTGTCGGAGCTCTTCGAAAAGCTGAAAGAGCTAGTCAGAGAGGCGGAAAGTCAGACGAAGGTCGAGACCAAGCTAGAAGCCCCGCTGACTCAGCTCCCTGGCTCGGCTTCGCCAACTGGATCGTCCCAACAGTCGCACTACGCGTCAGCGACATCGATGGCCGACTCACACACCTCGGAAGGAGTTGAGCGAAAGCAGCTTGGTCCATCAGGAGCTGCGATGCTGCAAACCAGATCGCAGTGGGTATCGAACGAGAGGCCCAGGGCGGGCGACTCTGCGACAGTCAGCAGACCGAACGCAAATCCAGACAGACTGCAGTCGTTCTTCAACTCGGCGATAGAACCCTTCCTGAAAGAGCAACGCGCCGCGTGGGGGACGCCAACAGTGCCCTTGATGAGAGAAACGGAGCCGCAGGACGTCAACAGGGAGTCTGTGGGATCGGACCACGGAGAGTACGATCCGGACGATTTGGACCTCCCTGCCTACCGTCAAGCGACCGTAGCCACCGCTGCTACAGCGACTGGGCTGCCAGCAATCACCCCTCGCATCCGGGTGTCCGCTATGTCAGAACTGAAAGAGTTCTCGGGTAAGGACGACGACGCGGATCGCCCGCGGGCTTGGGTCGGCAAGGTCAAGTCAGCTTTCGTCCGCGATCAGGCTCCAGACGACGAGAAGTGCCTGGTGCTTGGTAGCCTGTTCACTGGACCGGCGCGTAACTGGTACCGGCAACTTGGTCCAACCACGAGGGGCGACTGGAAAGAGCTCCTCCGCGAGTTCCAAGTGCAGTTCTGCGGACTCGGAGTCTCTGTCGCGAGACAATACTACCACGCGAGGAAGCTCGCTGACGAGACGCCGCTGGAATACCTGCACCTCATGAACCGAGGGCGAAGCTGCGCGTGAAGAGCTGCCCATCCGACGTTCGCCGCGAGTACGTAAAACACTTCATCGAGACCCTGGACGACCGCGATCTAGCCGACCAACTCGCGCTGCTGCGTATCT